GAAAACTAAACATTACATAGACATACATAATACTAGATGCCTGCAAGTCAGAATTTTTAACAGGAAAACATATAACTTAATCAACTAATAGAGGCTTCTTAGAGCCAACAAAAACATTTTCAAAGCAATGTTCTGGCTGAACTGTTTATAGCCCATTTGTGTGTTCCACAAAATAGTGCTGCTTCTAAAGGGGCTGAGTTACATTAAACTCTAGTGATTGTGCCTATTTCATTTAAAGACCTCCAAAGGTTATGATGGGAAGATATTTATGTACTGTGAAGGCTTCAGGTAGAATGGAGCATTCAGTTAGATGCAACAATTTTCTTATTTAATATAAACATAATGAATCTGGATGGAATATTTAGATCCTTTAGGTAAAATGCTCTCATTATGATAATCATACCCGACAGTATGTTTTCAATTCAGTATTCCATTGCTTTGTTTCTCCAAAATTTAATGAATGCATGGTCTAGTTGCAATTGGGATGAATTTTATCTCCAGGAAAGAAAAAAAAAACCTGCATCCATAAGTTTCCAATTTATATACAACCATTAGTTCCTTATTGCCTTCTCAAGTTACCCCAAAGTCAAAATATGTTGCTTATGATGTACTAGATTATATTACTAGAAAGCAAACAAATAAACCAACTAACAAACCCATAATCTTGATAGCTTTGCATGACAAAATATCTTTTTATTTCATGAGCTTTTTCATCCCAGTAAGCTGCAGGAGTGGGGATGGGGGATGGGGATTTGAATCATCATTGTTTATTAGGATCCCAGGCTGATGGACCAGCATAACCATACATGTGCATACTTTATTAATCAAAGTAAGCCACATGGCCGCACTGATTTTAAAAACACCAGTAACTGCAACTTCATCCTGTGCCAGGGATGAAGAGACACTGAATATTTGTATGCATACCTAATGTTCACTACTCACAGTGTGGTACTTAACGGTCCAGAGATGACTTCCTTTACTTAAAGTGCTTCTTCCTGTCACTTCTCAGGATTATTTCAGTGCTTTCTATCTGGGTTTTCACCAAAAATCTGTAGAGATTATAACAGTGATCATGTATCATTACAATACAAACCAATAATGTGGAGAGTGGAAATGAGAGATCTCAGATCAACATTTGTGTTTTTTACACACCCACACAAAATTACACTTTTTGGATATACACAATGAAAGTATAATATATTACTTTATTCTTCATACAAAATGTGAAAGAAAAACTAGGAGAATGATATTATTTATTTATTTATTTTTAAAAATTTTATTTATTTATTCGAGAGAGAGCGATAGCAAGAGAGCATGAGCAGGGGGTGGGGAGAGGGAGAAGCAGGGAGAGGGAGAAGCAGACTCCTGCTGAGCAGGGAGCCTGATGTGGGCTGATCCCAGGACCCCAGGATCCAGACCATGACATGAGCCTAAGGCAACACTTAATTGACTGAGCCACCTAGGTGCCCCTAGGAGAAGAATTTTAGATAGAGCTTTCAAGATAAGAAAAGAATTTGCTATAATTACTAACTATAATGGGTTTTTTTAAAAAAATAATTAATTAATTAGATTGGTTGGTCATTTGGCTAATTTGTCTTAGTATTAGTCTTAGTTTAATGATACTCCCAAAGAGTTGTCCTTTACTTTTGGTTGTTATGTGACAGAGAGGATAATCAGATGGGATGGCAAAGTGTTTTGTCCAACGAAATGTTGGAAGGTAAACTGAGATTATAAACTTCATCAGGGTTTACAGACTGAGGTAATAAAAAGCACCTGGCAACTGAAGAAAGCTTCCTGGAGAGTTGTCCACAGTCTTAGGCTCTGCATAGCTTTCCATGGTATGTGAATCTAGGGGAAGAGAAAACATATTCAAATTAAGTTAGATTAATATACTTACATTAAAGGATAGTGATAAATTGGGTAGAGGAATTATGTTAAATAAAGTACTGCACAGTTGTATTTTTGCACATAAAAATATTTTGAAGTCTTTGAATTGAAATTTATTCATTTACATTTTATCTTGCTAAATATAATCTTTGAGCTCTTGAGGTAAGGGCTTTTCTTACATTCATCTACAAGGCTAGAAGATTTCTGGTAATGATAATAATAGTGAACAATTAATACATTTTCTTATAAATTAGTGTTAAAAACTGATTTCAGAAAATGACATAAGTTTGCTATAGCTCTTTCATATTATATCTATTTTTTTGTCAAATTTAAGAGGAACAAAGAAAGTACTAAGTCAGGTCAGAATAGATCATGGGTTTTTATTTGTATGGTGACTAATTGTTAAAAAGATAAGAAAGACTAGAATTGCACTAGAATTGTATTTACCCACAGTCATCTAGTATGAGATACCTAGTCATTTAAAAAGAGTTTATATGGTATGAACAATATCAATCAAGAGTTTATATGGTATGAACAAGATTGAATCAATCTTCTTGGTTAAAGTCCAGTTAATTCACTTAGTAACCCACATGTTATGAATACATGCATATGAGTTTATAAATTTAGCACTTTAAATCATTGAAAAAGATACACCACAATTTTAGGTTCAAGTTATGCCACTCCTTGACAAAATTATAAACTTTTTTCAGCAAATAAAAAAAGTACATATTTGAGAAGCCTTTAAAGTTTGGAATTGAGTAACTATTATTTAGATCATGGTTTGATAAATAACTTTTTGCAAGCATTATATGATTATATACCTTGAGATATATCACAAAATATTAAAACTTAAATGTTTTATTTAAACACTCTTCTTCACAAATTTGAATATATACTTACATATATTATATAAAATAAGTATATTATACTTACATTATTATATGTTATATATATCATATTACACATAATGTAATATGTAATTATATGTATACATTATGTGTGTAATTATATGTATATGTATATAATATATGTAATTATAATTCATTATATATAATATATAATGGATTATAATATAAATATTTACATGTAATTATAATAATTTATATATAGCTATATATGTAAATATGTTGTGTGTAATGTATTATATATATAAAATATAATGTGTTATATATTATAGATATATATAATGTGTTATACACTATACATATATATATAATACATGTGCAATTAATTCCGGTAAATTTTTTATAAAAGGAAAAGACATAAAAATTTGTTAATATCAACCCAGGTTTTGAAAGATAAAAGACATCCGTACTCTCTTCTGAGGAAACATGAATTAATAAATCCAGCATAGGATCTCTAAAAACCCTACATTTACTGAAAATAGAGCACTTTGTGAAAATTTTAAAGACAATATGTCAAATTACCTAATTAATAGCTTTTTTCTGAATAGCAGCATTAGCGTTGCTTGTTAAAAGTGCAACCTCTGGATCCCACTTCAGACCTAATGAATCAGAAAGCTCTGGGGTGGAGTTTCCAGGTGACTCTAGTAGGTGATGAAGTTTGAGAACCATCAGTAGAACAAAACTGTTTAGATCAGCTGATTTATGGAGGAGATGGCAAGAGTTTCTCAATGAAAGAAACACTAAATTGACTTATTCTCAGGCTGAAGACTTCCCTAGATCCCTGAGTGAGCCTTATCTTATAATTAATTTCCAAAAGACTGAGTGGATTTTTGGGCTGCCAAATATTTGTCACATGAGCGAAATATTCCTAGTTAGAAGCTCTGTCAAGGATATACCTCTTTGTCCTGCAAGTATTTACTATTCTTCATTATTCTGTGTAAATCTTTTCCCTGCTTCCCCTCCTTTAGCAACTTTTTTTTTTTCCCTTCAGAGAGTGCCTAAATATTAAATATCACCTCTCCAGAGTTGCCTTCTCTGGTCACTGAAAGTAAAACAGGGCCCCACTGCCCACAGCTCTATGGCGTATCACAGCAGGCTCTCTGTGGTAGCTCTCAGCACTTATAATACTCGGACATTTGTTTAAAATTTAAGTTAATGTCTGTGTTTTATTTATTTTTAAAACTTTCTCTAGAATGTGAGCTCCATTTGGACATGGACAGTATTGGTCTGGTTCACTGATGTATCCTTTTATCATTCACTTTTCGTTGGTGCACTGCAGGCATTTTTTGGAGGAAAAATATACATAAATATGGCACATATTTATACAATATTTATTCAATATTTTATTTGCTAGATAGTAATTAAGTTATAAAACACCTGGGAGTATTAGGCCTGGCAGATGGAATTCTTCCCTGTGGAAGGTATTTGAGATTTTTATCAGACCACTCATCAGTAAAAATCTGTACAGTTAATCAGAGAATCCAGTTCACCATAGTTCTTGGCTAAAGTATCTCATTAGATGGATTTTAACTCAATATAAATGTAAAAATCTTTGTTTAAATGTATAAATCGTTTACAACTATATCTTCCATTTCCATTTGGCCAAATTCACCTGAAAAGTCATTTGCATCTTGAGAAATTGCTAATGGAGTTGAATTTAGGTTTCAAAATATGTTGTAAACAATAATTACTGTAAAAAAAGTTTGTCTTTTGATCATGTTTTTTTTTTTTTTTAAATTCTCCTACAGCTCTATAATAGTCTTGAAATTTTATAAGGTCCTACTCTAAAATAGAGAAAGGAATCCTTAGAATTATGAAAATAAATTCATTATCTTTTTTACAATTTCCCTTACAAAATAATAAAATATTACCTTAGTGATTTTTTTAAATAGCTCTACATTCATGTTCTATGCATAACAAAATCATGTTTATGAGCGTATCTTTCCTTGGGAGAAAAAAATAAAAAAACAGTGGAAGCTGTTTCTTTTAAGTGGCTTATTTTTTCTTGTATATGATTCAGTTTCAGAATATTCACTCCAGTTACATAAATTATAAATGTTGCTTCTCCTACTCATGGCACGTGACATATTATTACAGGCCAGACTCTTTGTAATGGGGTGACCCCAGCGAAACTACCAAGTGAACTTTTCAAATGAAAACACTCAGATAGATTATGTACGTATGAATAAAAATAAATTTGCTTTTCAGGGAGTTTGGCCGCTGGAAAGTAAATAACCTTGCAGTTGAGAGAAGAAATTTCCTTGGCTCCCCATTGCCTCTTGCTCCTGAATTCTTCCGCAACATAAGACTTTTGGGACGTCGACCTACCCTTCAGCAAATCACAGAAAACCTTATCAAGAAATATGGGACCCATTTCTTGCTATCGGCTACTTTGGGAGGTACGACTCTTTGAAAATATTTATGCCTATGTGTACTTGTGCATAAAACTGTGAAAGTCAGGGAAAAATGTGTTGATTAATCCAGATAGCTTCAGTTTGAATAATTCTAGAATTCATTCATTTATTCAATGCATTCACTGAGTTATTACTAAATGCCTTCTATGGTATTCACAATGGGAAGGTAGCTGATTATTACTTAGTTCCTGCCTGAAGGCAATGTACAGTATAACAGCATGCATTAAATACAGTCATAGCTGCTGCACTCTCTAATGCAAGGGGATGTGCCAAATTCTGTTTAAAAAATAAATAATAAGCAGTCAGGCACAAGTGGAAGTCGTCACTTCTGGTTACAGAGAACAGGAAAAGTTTCCCGAAGTAAATGTTGAAGATCTAAAATTACGTTTGTTAGCACTCTTTTAGTATTTCTCATTGTGGTTCATATATGATATAGAGAGAATGATAAATAAATACCAATTATGATGTGTAATGTAAAAGTAGAGATTAATAATGTCACTTCTTCAATTTATAAATTTGTAAAAAATAAGAAATCTGTGGTTTTAATACCATTAATATGTGTTTTATCATGGTGATATATAATTCAGCATTTTGAATACACTTAGATGATAATTGGGGAGGTAACGTAATAGGGAAAATAGGATTTTCCTAAAACTTAAAAATATCCCAGAATTCCATGTATTTAGTTTTGTGTAAGACTTTAAATAATGTCCATCCATTTTATTTAGAAAAGGATGTTACTCTTTCCTATAATGAAGAGCACTGAATATAATTGGATATGAAAACAGTGATTCTCTGCTTCCTTGTCTGTTCCTCAGTAAGTTTTCTGAATCCGGACAGACTGATTCACACCAATGGTGCGGTGGTATGAAAGGCCACTGGTTCTTCATTTTTCCTACCTTAGAAGATGAGTCTTTTCTTTCCTGTAGCTGCCAGTCCAGTCTGTCAGTAAGTCATGCCAGTCCTTTTTTTCTCCCAAAATATATCCCATGTCAAGCCTTTCTGACTTCTACCCGGGCATCCCTAGACCAAGTCACCATCACGTTTCTCTCCAGAATATGCCTGAGGTCCATGCTCCTCACAGATCTTTTTAAAACTTGGATCAGGTCAAATCATTCCGTGTGTCAATTAAAACCTGTAACTAGCCACTTAACATAAAATCCAAATGTCTTGCTACGGTTTATAATGCACTACATGAAGGGTCTGATACTGGCTTTCACCACAGACCTCAACTTTTCTCTCCTCTCATCATGCTCTATTTTTCAGCCACAATGACCTTCGGGACAATTTTTCTGCTCAAATGTTACTTTCCATAGAGGGCTTTCCTGTCCATGCTACCAGGAATAGTACCCAGTAGTCCACCAATAGTCTCCACTATTCCATGATCTTCTTTGTGTTCTTCATTGTATTTTTTTTATGTGAAATATTTTATTTATTAGTTTCTTGGCTTATTATCTGTCATTTCTGCATATTTTTTTGAAAACAGGAAACTTGCCTGTATTTGTCACAGTTTACCCCCATAGTTATAAGTGCCTGGCACATAATAGGTTCTCATTAAATATTCGTTAAATGAATAAATGAGACTACAACTTCGTTTAGAGTCTGAGATGTTCAAGTTCACTAAACAGATGTCAAAAGTATGATACACACAGAAGATAACTGAGATCTAATTCAAGAAGAAGACTAAATGAAAACTGAATCCAAAGAGCCAAAACAGTCAGTTAAACAAATAAAGATACAGAATTGGAGAGAAGGAGGATGCAAGCAAGAACAGGTGAACAAGGCATGGAGAGGTTGGAAAAGGAGATTTCTGGACACAATGTGGAAATATAAGTCGGCCAAATAACCTTAAGGAATTAAAGGTGGAAAACGTGGATGATTTAGGCAGACAGACAAAGTCAGCCAGGAAAACACATTATCTCTGTCCTCCATAAGTGAATAATACTAAAATAATAAGATAAAGGGATCAGCCTGGTATTGAAAATTGACTCTCCTTCTTTTTTTAACCAATTGTGAATTTTTTAAGTTTTATTTTATTCAATTGTGACATTTTTAAAATGTTAAGTAACTTCTCTGTTAGTTTCTTTTAGGAGAAAGTCGGAGAGTAATATATGTGTGGTAGGGTCATGGGAAGATTAATGTACATACAGGAAGATAGTCTTGGCACAATGTGTGGCATAATTTAAACATTCAAAGAATTTATGTTATTGCTATTACAGTAGTGTGTATAGAAAAAAATTATAAAATATCCCAATAATTATAAAAACTGAGTCTCTGAAAGCTGTGTCTGTATGGGTTAGTAAGGTCAATGATTATTAATGCAATAAAGTCTGAAGTAAAAGTGAAAGTTAAATTATTACTATAACTTCTTTTAAAAAGTTCAGTGGTCTTGTACTCATATTAGGCTTCATCACATTTGTGTCAACAATGTGTAATACCCAGAATTTCAGAACATAAAATACATTCTCCAAATAAGAAAGGAAGCAAGTGACAGAGGAAAGGCAGAACAGATAAAAAGTACAGATGATTTTTGTGGACATTTTTGTTCCTTATACTAAAATTACAGTAACTTTTTGATTTGTTTTCATTGTTTTGGCATTGTAGATGCTACATGTTGGCCTTCAGATTAGTTTTTATTGTGTATGTTTTTTGTCTGTATAAACATGGTCTAAAAATCTTTTGTGGGATTAAATCATTTCTTCAGGTTGATTATTCAATGATAGTAATATGTTCTCTCAAAATTCAATTATTTAAAAGTCTTGTTCAAGCATGTCCTTAAAGGCAAAACATGGAGTGGGTGGGGGTGGAGCAGGGGAAGACATGGAATTTCCAGGCTCCCTAGCCTTCTACCCTTTGAATATTCCTTGGATTTAATATTCCTGGTATTTTCTATTAGAATTCTTTTTTTTTTCCTCTAAATGTTACTTATAGTTTCTTTCAGGAATCTCTGCTGGGTGATGTTAATAAGTTAACTAAAATGCATGAAATTATTTAAGTAGCTTAAGGATATAACTATTTGCAATTAAAATGTACACCAGGTTGATTTCAGGCAATTTTAAAAATATTGCTGTTGTAATTACACTAAACCTTTTTTTTGTTGTTGCTGTAAGTATATTTTCGCTTTATATGTTTTACCTGGTTGAACATGAAGTTGTATCATTCCATTTTTTAAAAAAATGAGATTTGTGGTATTTAACTGGAGCTAATTCTCTCTCTTGCTCTCTCCTTAACCAACTAAGTAACAACCCTTATATTAACACACTGAGGATGTCATGTATATAAGCAAACATTTTAAACAAAAGGCCAGTTATTTCTTGCTTCTTAAATAACAAGATCTTCAACTAAATTTAAACATTTTAAAAAATGAGTTGTGTAAAATTCTCTCAGTATTAAAGCGATGAAAAAGAAATAAATAAAAAATGTCTTTTTTCCCTGAGTTATTTAGTACATCATATTATTGACTTAGACATAAAACTTTGGATAGCATACTTGAAGCCTTTAACGGGATATTTTATGATAGATAAAGCCAGTGATTTAATTATCTCCCTATAGGGAAAAATAAATTGTAAAAAACCTTCTTCAATATATATCATTTTCCACACTTATTTCATTTTATAGCTTCCAGACTATTTATCAATATAGTAATTCAGCTTGCTTCTGTTTGGATAATGATATCTAAACTCCATCACTGTTTAAATATCTAAAATAAGCTGCTCAATATGAGGAATCAATCTTGAAAAAGATTGCACTACTGAGATATATTGATTTCTAACTATGGAATATATTTCATGACTATTTTTATAATATATTTCATTATAATACAATATATGACAAATACTGGAATAAAAGTGTCTCTGTGTACTGAATATAGAACAACAACAACAAAACACAAGTGAACAGGAAAAAAATAAAAAGAGCTTAAAACCGCTGAGTTGACTGGGGAGAGGGAGGGTGCCCATCATAAAACACCAAACCTAGGTTCTGGATCAATTGAAAAAGACAGAAAGACTAAGGAAGATGCAGCCCAAAAAATTCACTTAAAATTTTATAAAGTGTTGTAACAAAATATTTATAATAATTTTAAATGATGCCTGACTCTCATCTCTAGTATTACACAGACTTGTCCAAACAGTCATGATTATAGCCCTGAGCCACCCACGGTCACACGAGCATATGTGTGGCTCCCATATCAACCTAGGCTCTCTACAGCCCAACACAGTGAAGAACAGACCAGAGCTTTTGCTCTCTCCTGACAGGCACATCTTGAAGAAGAAGAGGAAGCAGCGGGGTTACTCATGTCAGTCCCTTTCCTACACCAGCCTTTCTGTTAACTCACTGTACTTCTGTTGGCAGAGTCAAGAATGCAGGGACAAGGATTGTTTGGACAGAATACCTTCCCATGGAGAGGAGTGCAGGAAAAAGTACTCTTTTCTTGATAGAGATATTTTATTTATTATTATTTTTTAAGATTTTATTTATTCATTTGACAGAGAAAGAGAGAGCAAGCACAAGCAGGGGGAGCAACAGAAGGAGAGGGAGAAGCAGACTCCCTCCTGAGTAGGGAGCTGGATGCGGGGCTGGATCCCAGGACCCTGGGATCATGACCTGAGCTGAAAGCAGATGCTTCACCAACTGAGCCACCAAGGTGCTCCAGTAGAGATATTTTAAAAAATCAAACCAAAATTCATTCTAGGAACAAATAGATAATATATTAAGATTTGTTCCTTTGCAACTTTAATAAAATAATTTTCACTCTCAGCAGCATTAAAACAAGTCCTATTTAACCAGTGGTTTTGAATGCACAGTTTTAAAAGTCATAATTTAAATTTTAGTGGAAATAGTTACTTTTTTTTTAATATGTGTGTTTTTAATTTTTTTTTCCCTGAAAGTGCTTATGAGAATGTATCTTGTTACCACATTGTTCAACTTAAGCATTTCATCAGATATTAAATTTTGTTTATATAAAGAAAATATTTTCATTATTA